TATATATATATATATATATATATGGAGTGGGGGGGGGGAGAGAGAGAGAGAGAGAGAGAAAGGAACTATGATAGGTTTGGGTGTTGGCCAAGATGAGGCCAGAAAAACCTTTCTCATTTTTTACTCTGATTTCTAGTGGGCAAAGCTATTTGCGAGGTCATTTCTGTGCCTAGGAATTTAGGGCATCTTATTACGTGTCACAGAGAGCCAGTTTGGTATAGTGGTTAGCACCAGACCAGAAACTGGGAGAGAGTGAGTTCTAGTCCTGCCAGTCAGCCCTAGGAAGGAGAAGAAGAAGGCCGGGGCAAACCCCTTCTGAACATGCTGCCAAGGAAACTTCCTGGCCTTGTCCAGGCAGTCGCCAGGAGTCAACACTGAAAAAGCAAAGAAGTCACACGTCACACCAATGGCTGGAGAGTGCCATGCATGGCTAGTATTGGAAGCAGCTGTGACTGTGAAGACCTGGACAGATGACAGGCTGCTGATGTGCTTCTGTAGGACCTAATGTACTCCGAGGAGGCTTTGGTGATGGCCCCAGATGAAGGCAGGAAGAGGGCAAGTAGATACATCCATATGCTGTGAAGGTATTTCTTCCAGATTGGCTTCGAAAGCAACACAGATATTCTTGTGGCAACTTAAAGGTGGTTGTAGGTCTTAGTGCTCGCTGGTTACTTCATGAGATCTCACATGAGCCTCACATGAGCCTCACATGAATAAGGAATATGTTGGGAGCAGGGAAGATGTAGGGAGGAAATGGGAAGCAGAGGGGTGGGGGACAGTGAGAATTGTGATTTAGAGTGACAATAAAGAAAACTGTGGTAGTTCCACAGGAGGTCTGCTCTAAGGGCCTTGCGCCAAACAGGCACTACCCTTGCCATTCAGTCATATCCTTTCCTCCTTGGTGGGGGTGGGGGTGGGGGGTCCTTCTCAGCCTCCCTGCGGAACAGCTCCTGTCCCATATCCTTGGGTTAGCTGGTGGGCAAGGAGCAGATGGCAGCAATGGTGAGTCTTGCCCTGTTCCCAGGGATCCTGCCCCAAAGCACTGCTCTCCTCCCACAGAGGGCAAACCCTGATCTGTCAGAAGCGTCATTGGTGGTTGGGACTTCTGGATGTTCAGACCTTCGCATTGGCAGCCAAGGAGAGCGGCCTGGGGCCCAAGGCCTGCTCAGCTCTCCACACAGAAGCCACAAAGGCCGGGGGAACCCACAGCTTCCAGTGTCTTTAAGAAGGGAGGGGGCGTGCTAAAGGAAGAGGCAGCCGTGCCATCACACGTATGGCTGTTCCAGTCGGCTGCTTGCTCAGAGGACGGCAAAGTCACAGCCTGTGACAGATCAAGGTTCTGCCATGGATGTGAAGGGAATGTCTGGGCTGATGCTCCTCTTGAGACCAGCTGGGTGGGAACCAGAAATTGCTCGCCATTTGCCTTGGCAAAGGTTCACCAGCTCTTCAGCACCACCCTCTCTCTCTTATCCTTGAGCTCAGATTCATTATGGCCTTCAATGCATATATACCCAGCCTTCGGGCAGCAGTGCCCTTGCCTCTTCAACCCCGTTTTTTCCCCTTCGTTTGTCTTTCTCCCTGCAGTGCCCGTGACCCCTCAGATTCCCCTGGAAAATGGTGTTCCAGAAGTCGCCCGACGGCGGGTGGGGCTGGGTGATAGTCCTCGGCTCCTTTTTCACCCAGTTCTTGTGCTACGGGTCGCCCTTAGCCGTCGGGGTGCTGTACGTGGAATGGCTGGATCTGTTTGGAGAAGGAAAAGGGAAGACGGCGTGGGTCGGATCCCTGGCGAGTGGAGTTGGACTGCTTGCAAGTAAGTCTCCAGTAAAAGAAAGAGAAAACGTTTAACATCTAACCCTTTACTTATGAAACCTTCCCGTTGCTTTAAAGAAATAAATTTAACTGGAGAAGGGGGTTCCTAGTGTCTCGGTTCAGATGAGAAGACCTATTCCAGCAATGACATTTCACTGCCAAATGATGTAAAGCTGCAAACCAGCAACTTTATTGCAAGGAGTTTAAGAATAATCATTTACTTGCAATCAGCATCCGTCGGCCTAGTCTCTTTCCTTCGAATCATCTACTCAGGGTCACGATGTTGTAGTAAGTGCAAGGAAGCCCAGTGGCAATTATTTCTACATTCTGCAAATGGGGGCTTTCCATTTCAGTTTAGCAGGCAGTCCACAGTAGGACCAACGCTGTTGTTTTCACATTGTGTGAACCCTACAATGTCTGAAGCAGTGATTGCTAAAGATTGCAGTCCTTTTCCTGTGGTTAGAATTGAAACACAAATATATATTTCTGTTCGTACTATAGAAATGAGCACTGTATCTCAGCAAGTCTCTAACTTTACATATCCAATGATGCAAGAAGCAGGGAATCTCTAGAACTGTAATATTTGCGCACACATCGTCTTTGGTGTAGTGAAAATTGAAGGCCAGAATTTCACAAATTAGATAGTCCAGTTCTTTGTATTCACCACAAGCAGAATAAATTACACTAATTTCAGAAAGAATTAAAATAGAAGTTGCTTTCACAGAGTTAGGCTTTTATGATCTGTTGGCTCTCCAGTATGTCTGCATTAATCTGGCTCAGTTCAGTGGCAGGACAAAGAGCTATAAAATGTAAAAATATTCAACATGGCCCATGAAAAGATAATCTGCTTTTGCCTCCAAAACCTTTCTCTAAAATTCTGTATGGGGCACAGACATTTGTATGGGGATTGGAGGGCAGAAGGATTAATATGGGATTTTATTTTGCTTTTAAATATTATTTTAATTTTTGTAAACCACTTTGTCATTTTGTTTTATAAAAATGATGATGATGATGATGATGTATTTATTTATGCCAGGCTTAAGTACATATGTGAGAAACTGTGAAGGAAAATGTTATAAAAACTTTGCAGTCTAAACAAAAGAGAAAAACTAATACAGATTACCGGAGAGGCAATAATTGCTTTCTATTTGTGGAATATAGTTGAGTTATAAGAGATGGAATAAAACAGATACATTTGGCAGAAATGTATCTATGCAAATTTCCTCAATGCAGGGTAGGGTTAATAAGGTCTAATTTTCGACAGTGCCCATTGGAGGTGATAATAACGTCTTGGGTGTTTTTGAGCCCACCCTGCAGACACCCGGGGTCCAAAATAATGACTTTGAACTCCGTGGATTTTATAATTGTAATATTATGACTTTGCATACCTTAAAGGTGTTAAAAATACAAAGGCTTTTTGTGCAATTGTCTGAGTCACAGCAGAGGAGATGGTCTTGGCCCTTCTCTAACTGCTTTGTGGTAAAAATAGAATTAAAATTGGAAATGTGGATGCGCTTGAAGTCTCCAGGCTTGGCAGGGCTGCGTTTGCACATCTAAGTCCAAACAAGGAAGAATAGAAAAGGGGGGAGGAGGGGGGAGAAAAAGAGGAAGGGGGCGAGGATTGGGAAAAAGACCGTCCCCATGAGTCTGGCAGGGTTAACGTGCGATTCTCAGAGGAAAACCAGCTTTTGTAGCCTGGAAAAACGCTGAGGGAGGGAGGAAGGAACCTGCCCCTGACTCCGTGGGGGAAGGCGTCTGCTGTGGGAACGCCGCTGAGGCCGGGCATCGGGGCTTTCGGTTCCAGCAAGCAGCTTCCACAGGGTGGGTCCCGCGGTCCCGCAGGCTGCGTTTCTGAGTCTCACACCACCGGGCAGCTGGGTGGCTCTCGCCGGCCCCGAGAGCTACGAAGGGGGGGCCAGGCCAGCGTGGGGCGCTGAATGGGTTGCTAAGGCCGGCTTGGCCATCGGTAGCTCCTTTACTCTAGGAGACGGCAGAGAAGGCTGGGCTGAGATGTTTGTCACGCTTGTGCAGTGTTTCTCGACCTTGTCAGCTTGAAGATGGGTGGACTTCAACTCCCAGAATCCCCCAGCCAGCCTTCTGGGAGTTGAAGTCCACCCATCTTGAAGCTGACAGCGTTGAGAAACACTGCCCTTGTGGATAAAGAAGCAAGACCTTGCCCTTGAAAAGAATTGGCTGGCTTTCAAGGTCAGGCGGGCACCACCTTTAAGCTTTAACAGCGGCAGGAAAGAAGATGCCCAGGATCCTCTCCCGGCAATCAAGGCTCCGAGGAGGAACTTCGTAACCTGAGCCAGGAAAGTCCACCACAAAACACCTAGCCGAAGCCTGCAGCCAGGCCTGCTTCCACTCACTCCAGTGAAGAACTTGATTTCCCCCCTCAGATTGCAGCTAGTCCATTCCTGGTAAATAGCGCCTGATTCACTTGAGTTACGCCGCAGAAATTAGATGATTTAAAGACCTGGTTGAGGGAGTTTGGCTGTGCAATATGGCATTAAAATTCAAACATACCTGGCAATATCAGTTATAAATGAAGTGATTTTATCGTTCATTTGGAAATGGAACAACTGCTACTTTAAATGTCCTGAAACCCCCTTCTGGGGTGTTCAGTTTTAACGTTTTCAACTATGCAGCCAACAATGCTGCTGGCTGGGAATTATGGGGATGGTTGCAGTGCTGGGATTTAAGTCTAAAATCTGCTTAGGCTTGACTCCTGATTGGGTGGTGCAACACTTCATGCTCTAGGAATGAAAAATCTGAAAAAGCTGCTTATTCCAAACAACGGTTTCAGCGTCACTCAGAGAAACTCACTTGCTTCTTCACTCTGCCTACCTATGGCCGTGTGGCAAATTAGACATGCTAATGCTCCCGTAAGTTGAGATATACCAGTGTCCTAAAGCGTCCCTCTCTCCTTTCTCTGTGGCAGACCACAACTGGAACCGAGGGGAAGAACTTGCCCACATCCTAACATTAGTAAGTTCTCCTGGACCTCCCTGAGAAGGAACAAGGGGAGTGCAACAGGAATCAACCTTTCTAGCAATAGTTGCAAGTTTTAACCTAACTTTTCACTTGCGCTTAAAACTGCATATTATCCTGGTTGCTATGTCACAAATTCCTGTGGCAGAACTACCAGGCGACTGTAAAGGGAGAGGCAGATTATAGATTTTCTCCTGAGGCTATTCATGGTGGCACGAGAAGTGATGCTGTCCGTGACTGCTGACTTTGGAAAAGAGATTTTGCAGGTTCTTCATGTTTTCCAAGCCTGCAAAGCCAATTTGTCCAGCAACGAGGGAGCAGGCCAAGGCAGCCTGCTCCCAGGGCAGGCAATGTCCGCGCACGAAGGCAGTCCGACAGCCGCAGTACCAGGGAAGCTCTGAGCGAGGAGCTCGCTTTGCCAAAAATGGAGTCCCTTCATCCAGTCCACCCTTCTCCCTTCATCCTCTGGCCTGAACCTGTGACTCCTTGAAAGACCGATGCCCGGGTCCAAGACTGCCCTTCCTCAGCTTCTCCTGCTCATACTTCCCAAGCTGATGGGCCCTGCAGGGCACGGGCACACCACTGGTGCTCTTGCCCACCTCTCTTGGCACTCACTCAGTCTCCTGCCCCACCTGACTTCATTGCTATACGATCCTTTAATGGGAAAGCATAATCTGTGATGAATAGAGCAAAACAGTGAACAAATCTGGTATTTGCCTCAATGCCCCATGAAATGGTGGGTTGGGGGGAAAGCCTCTAAAGTAGCTTATCCTCCAACCGGAAAATCCTGAGTTTGCTGGGAATGCTGTAAATCACGGCCCCGGCTTTTTAGAGGGCAGGTTGTGGGAAGGTGCTGTAGAGAGTGTGGCTCACTGAAAAAGAAGGGGACGGCTTGGCTCTTGAAACAGGAAAGCCTGTCAGTTGTTGACTGCAACTGAAGAAGGGTGCGAGAGTGGTGAAGCTTGCCCAGGCCTCAGGTCCTTGTGCTGAGTCATGAAATGCCCTGTCGCTGGCACAAAATGCAGAGGGATACTTAGCGGCTCTCTGTTTTACGGATTACCTTCACTCTTGAATTAGCTTAAATTAAAATTGTACGCATGACCGAAAACTGAAGCTGCTAACAGGCTTAGAACTGGGCACTAATTCCCTCCGTTCTGTGGCTGGGTTTCCTTGAAAGAGCACCTCCCTCCCTATTTCGGTTTGAGACAATCCTAGCTGATGCAACCTTTCTCCAAAAGCTCACGCAAAGCGGTCAGGAAGGATAACAACGGCAGGAACACGCAAACAAATTAAAAAACAGTAGGAAAAGAGAACAAAAAGAAGCCAAATTGAAAGTTTGTGTAAAAAGAAGGACTTCAGTTGCCTCGTGAAGAATTCTAGAAAAAGGGCCTTGGTAGATGGTTCTGAAGCCCTCCTTCTCTTTATCAATGCAGAAGAGGCTGCTCTGGATGCGAATGAGACTGAACTAGATTCTTTTAGTTGAAGCAGCTTTTCTTCATCCATACCGTGGGCTATGAGCGCTCACAGGGCCAAGAAAAACGAACGGAGGGTGCTGGGTTTGGTGGCAGCAAATGGGGAGGTGGTTTGGGCGTGACCCACAGTTGCTTCGTGCTAAACTAGACACTGACTAAGAATGGAAGGCTTTGATCAAACAAGTTGGAGAAATGATTCAGGAGTTGACAATGTAAGGACAGGCGCCTTCAGTGGAGCAGAGAGACCTATTGACACATGTTGGCAGGATGGGGATCTCCCCGCCCGTTTCACAAGGTCCTGGAGAAATTCCCATCTGATGGACCTTCTCTGGAGGTCCTTGTCTGGTTGGCCAAACCTGGCAGCATTCTCAAAAGTCCCAGGCAGGTACTTCAGAAAGCAGCTTTCCTGCCTCCAGTACCATCAATTGTCTTACAGAGTAAGGGCCACATTTCATTTTGTGTATCTGCCAGTTGTCACAAATTTCCCACGGTTGCCCTAGTGTTGCAGCAAAGCCCTACTCTGGAGAAATCTCAGGCCTCAAAGGCTAGAGTTACTATGCTTTGAATGAACTCATCTTGCTTCCTCCAGGTTCCATTTCCATCCCCTCCCCTCCCCTCCCCCTCTTTTCTTCTCCTGGGAAGACGCATTCAGGCCCATTTTATCAGTGATGAATGTATGTCAGGAAAACATGATTTCTTTTGTAACCAATTAAGGGCACAGGGAACCTGAGTATGACAGACACGTCAGAGTAACCCCTTTAACCAGTTGCCACAAATCTGCAGTTCAGAGCTGGCTATTCCCTTAACGAGGAGCACTAGCTATCTTTGTCAAAACAGAGTTGTGATGCATAGCACAGGAGGTGCACATTGTAAGTACCTTGTCTTCCCCGATGATACAGATCACTTACACAAGGTCTAACACCACTTTTCAGAATTTTTTCCCTAAGCCACAAAAGTGGTGTAAGACATGGCAGCTGGCTTTTTGTGCGTGAGCAGAAATGGTGGAAGGGTGCCACACAAAGGGTACCTGGACTTAAATGAAACTTGACTTATGTAGAGGTTTCTGGAAGGGTCATGGTAAGTTGGGGACCGCTGTATTTTCTTCGTCTGTTACGAATCCATGGTCGGAAGGGGGGTTGCTGGGGTGAAGGAATTATTGCCTTTTTTCAGAAACTGCTGCAAAGTTGCAAATGCTTGTATTGTTTAGTCCCGTTTAAGAAGTCTACAGTCCTCTTCACTGGAGATCAACCTCATTGTCCGCAGCTGGACTGATCCCTGTGCAGGCACTTATAAAATTGGATGGTGCAAATAGGAGTTTATCTAAACATGTTATGGGAAGGAAACGTATATTGATGGCTTTGTACCTGCTGGGGAGAGGAACCTGCTGCTGTGCGTTTTGTCTGGTGGGCTTGTCGTTTAAGTCCGTAGACTGCAATCTTATACGCAGTTGCCCGGGAATTAGCCACAGGGAAGTCACTTCTGAGCAGGCAGCCTTGCTGACCTGTGACGGAGGGGGAGGCGGGGGTCCTGCTTGCAATGGTGCTGCCAGCCTCGACCACCAAAACTGGCATGTGGTTCTCCGAGGCTTGGGTGGTAGAAAATGCTCTTTCCTGGTGTGAAAATGATGAAATAAACATTAAAAAATCTTGAGCTGGAGCCCTTCTTTGGTTGGTCCCGTGCATCAGCTGTCCTTTCAGGATTTAAAAGGAGGCCGACAAATCTCAATTCCTTCTTTTAACGATTTAAAATAAAAAAAATTGTTCCTGCTCTTTTCCCGCACCCTTTCCCCCCGCACCCGACGATTCCCTCGCAGGTCCCGTCTGCAGCACCTGCGTCTCTGCTTTCGGGGCACGGCCGGTCACCATCTTCAGCAGCTTTATGGTTGCAGGAGGCCTCATGATGAGCAGCTTTGCGCCCAGCATCTACTTCCTGTTTTGCTCCTATGGAATTATTGTTGGTAAGAAAAGTCACAAAGTCCCCTCCGACCCCACCGGGTAGCGGGACAGTCCAACACCCTCCTCCACAGCTAAAAGCATCTTCTAGAAGGTAGTATGGACTTTAGACCTGGACCCCAACCCTGCAAAGCTCCCAAGAGGCTTGTGGGCACTGGGTCTTGCCCCATCTTCAGATAAACGGTGCAGGGGCAGCCGTGGGGCTCTGGGAGCTGGACCTCCAGAAGGGTTCCCCGGGCCCTTTCATTGAATTAATCAAATTAGCAGCACTGCCAAGAATGGTGGGGGGCTGTTTATGTGCCATAAACTTCTCTGTGCCTTTAGGACTCGGATGTGGCTTACTGTACACAGCCACGGTCACGATCACGTGCCAGTATTTTGACAAACGCAGAGGCCTCGCACTTGGTCTGATTTCCACAGGTAGGTCGTTTTAGCTGATGCTGGTCTCTGGGTTGAACGACCTTATGCAGTAGTTTGGTTCACTAAGATTATATCATCCAAACACCAAAAGTTGGTTTGCATTTATCAGAGTTAAACATTACTTCAGTTCTGAACAGTTTCGGGTTACTCCTTCACCTCCATGGCCTTATCCTGAATTCTCTGCTGGTCCTTTTGATGTGTTCGATTTTGATGGGATAATGGGGGGGGGGGGAGAAGAAGGAAGGGGATCAGGCAGGAATGGGTGATCTGGTCCAGTTCTTGCCCCCCACTGCAGCCTCTGTGGAAACACCAGTTTCAAAAACCAAGCTTTTATGCCGTTTGTTCCCCTACAGAAACCTCCTGATATCTGCTCCGCTATGTAGCTTTCTACATTAATTGGAGGCACTTGGAGATTAATCTGTAAAAAATGACACCCATGAAGAAATGTGAATACAGTCATTCCACGGGGGGCTTAAAAAAGTCGACGTGTCGCCCACCACAAGGCCCCCTTTAAAACTGCATCGCAGGCACAGTGCCCACAGAAGGAGACGGGGCTTTGACTGTATGTCCGGGGCCGCCATCTTGATGCTTTGGCCCTCCCCAAGGCATCCCTTTTGCATGGTACTCAGGAACCAAGAGTCTTTCAGCTGCATCTTGCCCTTTTCGTTCTGTGTCTGATGGCCCCAAAGGAAGCCCTGAAAAGCAAACTTTCAGTGGCCAGCCTTCCTGCGAATTATGGCCTATCGTTCTGTGTTTGGTTGGAAGACCCTCAGACCCGAATGGAGTTCTGGGTGAAACTCAGGCCAAGTTGCAAGGGTGGGCCCGGTGGCGTAAAGAGGCATGTGGGGGGGCTCTCCTTTATGGGGTGAACTGAAGCAGAGCTGGACAGCCGTCGGTCTGGGGTGCCTTCGCTGGGTCCCTGACCTGAGCAGGGATGACGGGGCTCCCTGGCCTCGCAGCCCCATCCAACCCATGATTCTGTTTCTCCCTCCCAATTTCACAGTCTGAGTCCCCAGAGTAGATGGCACAGCAGATGGTGATATGAAGCTACTGACACATTCCTCTCTTCTCCATCCAGGGTCGAGCGTGGGCCTTTTCATATACGCTGCGTTACAGAAAGAGCTGATTGAACTGTACGGGCTGGATGGCTGCCTGCTGATCATTGGCGCACTCTCCCTAAACATACTAGCCTGTGGCAGCCTGATGAGGCCTTTGCCGGTGGCCCAGGCGCCCGCTCTCGAGAAGGTTCCAGATCAATACCTCATTTATAATGAGAAAGAAAAGCCCGCTTACGAGGAACACATCACCATACTCGAAAGGGCCCGGGGAGAAGGCAGCGAGGGGCCGGGCAGCGACCGCAAAGCGGGCGGCCTCGCGGTCCACGGCCGACTGCCCTCAGCTTCGCCCAGAGAGGCCGACAGCTACCGAAAGAAGGTCGCAGAACAAACGTATCTCTGCAAACAGCTTGCCAAGAAGAAATGGGACCGGTATTTAAATTACTGGGAGGAGACATTGGGCCTTTTTAAAAACAAAGTCTTTTCCGCCCTTTTTATCGCCATCTTCCTCTTTGACATTGGCGGCTTCCCTCCTTCGTTACTCATGGAGGACGTTGCGAGGAGCTCCAATATCGCTGAGGAAGACTGTGTCGTCCCTCTGATTTCAATCATCGGCATTATGACGGCCATCGGGAAGCTGGCCCTGGGCGTCCTGGCAGACGTGGACTGCATTAACGCTCTGTACCTCTACATCCTGACGCTAATCCTGACGGCCGTGGCGCTGGTGTTAATTCCCTTCGCACAGAGCTACGGAACCCTGGCGATCCTTTCCGGGGTTTTAGGTTTCCTGGCGGGAAACTGGTCGATTTTTCCCTATGTCACAACCAAGACGGTGGGGATCGAGAAATTGACCCACGCCTATGGCATATTGATGTTTTTCGCTGGACTTGGAAATAGTCTTGGACCACCAATTGTAGGTAAGTTGGCATTTCAGCCATATGTCATTCCTTCCTTTCAAAAATGCCCTCCATCCACAGAACCTTTTAGTGGAGATGTAGAATTGTTCAGTTAGAATGGAAAAGTAGAGCAGCAACCAGCATTCCTACCACTGGCTGAAATCCACTCTTAATTTGGGAACAAGACTATGGGACAATAAATTGCATTTGCTTTATTTTCCAATGCATGTAATTGTAAAGCAATTGTATTGATACTGTTGCCCTTCCTGGGGGATATTTTCAAAAATTTGCCAACATCCAAGCCTGAGGACTTTTGGAAGCAATCATGTTATGGTACAAACGACCCAGATTGTGTTGTCTGTGCAAGGGCATGTAGGACTTCACCGTGGTGTCTGCCAGGCACTCTCGGAAACAGCAAAGAGCCCAATGGGCAGACTCATTTTAGGGGATTTCTGATTCACACAGAAGGAGAGGCTTTCAAACAGGATGAGAGTTCCACCTTGCCAGAAGGTTATGGCTTTGTTACCTTGTAAGTGGATGTACTATAATGCTAAATAAATTAGAGGATATCCCGTGGTTTGGGAACTTGTGGGTTTTGGCCCTGGCCCGAGCAGTATTAAGGAGCCTCCTTCAGATCAGCAGAAGTTCCATGGTCTCTCCTCTCCCTTCCACTGCTGCCCACTGCCACACCCATGTGGGACAACTGCTTCCAACCTTCTGATGAAAGAATTGCACCCTCAGCACGTACATTTCGCGCTTTAATGAAGGAGTCCTCTTGAGTGCAGGAATTAAATCAGGGTAGTTTCTGCAGGTATGATGCTAGAAGCGTTTACCATGGAATAAGGTGCACTTTACTGCAAACTAGGATAATCTATAAAGGGAAGGGATAAAACAATTGCTTGTAATTGTCTCTCTTTGCTGCCCACAGGTTGATGTTATCTTGGCAGGAAGGATCTTTTGGAGAGCAATATCAGGAGATAGTTAGATGTTTATGGTGGCCCAGATAGTCACGCTTTGCCGCTGCCCCCTTCTCTGCCACTCTCTGTAATTTAACGAGATCTCAAGCATCATGCTGTCAGAACTGGGCAGCAAACTCTAGATGGTCCCCACAGGGCAATACAAAAATCATCTTTTTCTGCATCTCTTTGGGATCACCTGGATCCCTGCAGCCTGGATCTGGGAGCTGTGCACAAGCACCTGCTTTGCTTTGAGCCAGGCCTTTGCTTCATCTGGCTTAATGTTGCCCTCGTGTGCTGGCAGGGACTCTAGAGTTTCAAATCTTTCCCAGTCCTAATCTGTGTTCTTCAGGCATTGCAGCCTTCCCCAGGTTCAAAGATTACAATATGCTCGAAGTTCTTCTCACCATAATTAAGAACTCGCATACTGGTCTGTGCTCCATACAGTAGAATAAATCGTTTCTGGCTCCATGATACAGCGGCCTCTGGGAGTACAGCTATTGGCTGTCATTGTGGTTTGTCAGTGGCTTGGGTTCAAAGCATTGGTAACCTGGATTGGCAGCTCCCCGATCAGTCATGCTCTGGTGTGACGCTTTTATGGAAGAGGAGACGTCTTCTTCTGTAGCTGCGTAGGTGTACGGCAACGAGAGGGTGCGGATCGGTGTTTTAAGACTGCTCTGGCAGCAACTTTTCTTCTCTTTCAGGTTGGTTTTACGACTGGACCACGTCTTACGAACTAGCTTTTTACTTCAGTGGGCTGTGCGTGCTCTTCGGAGGCCTCCTTCTCTCGCTGGCCACGCTGCCGTGCTGGCACGGAACAAGCGCTGGCTGCCAACCCAGACCCCACCTCCAAACCTTTACTCCTGCCAAGCTGCCTCCAGAGCGTAAATGACAGTATGGAGTAGTTGCTGCTGTTTTCATACTGGTTCTTTTAGCAATTTTTCCGTATATTTATAAAGTTTTTTAAAAAAAACTTTTATACTTCTTTGAAATGCTTGTACCTTTGACCCAAAGTACCAGGTTCTGGCCCTAGCAGTGAAGTCCCATCAACCCAGCGGGGCCTTCTGCTTTGCCGTTGCCGATAATTAGAAAAGTGCTGCTCGTGCCTAAGGACTACACTGCCGGATTGCAGCCGACCACAGACTTTTAAGACCCTGCTGCTTAAGTGAAACTTCCTGTCAAAGAGCTTCCCAGGTCACTTCACTGTTCAGGGGACTGGGGCGTGCAGTGGAAAGCTGTGGCAAGTGTGCAAAGCGGTTGGATCTGGAGCCAGTGCATTCAGTCTCCTGTGACTTCCTTCTCTCACTCAGACTGTATTCTGTTACAGTTTGCTAAGCATTTTCTGGTGCAGCGAATGTATTTTATACACATTTTCACATAACCCTTGTGCTTAATTTTGGCCAAGTTGGTACTTGCTTCTCTCTTCAGGTGGCGAGAGGCTTTCAAGACGAGCGGCTCCATCAGCCGGAACGTCGTGACTCGGATTGAAGGCCCTCCTCTGTCTGAGGAATCTGGTGGGTTGCCAAAAGGCAGATTTGGATCTCATGATCTACGAAGTAAACAGCATGGCAAGAATTTAGCATTTAATGTCAATGAAGATGTTGGATTGCAAAAATGTTACTGCATCTTCCATCAGGAGCTGTTAAACATTATTCAACTGAAATCTATAAAACCAAGGAATAAATACAATTTATTAAAGAAACCACCAACCATAGGACCGAAATACTGATCTTATTTATTTTACAAATTCAAGACAAGATTTCCTTAGGGAGCTTTCAATATTGCAATGCAGCAAAACCCCTCTAGGTAAGAAAATTTAAGCTCTTTAATCCATACGTTAGAAGGAAAAATCCATCTCTGAAGTTTCCAAAGAACTTAACTCTTAAATATTTAAAAACAGTAAGGTTGATATTGGGAGGCGTCCAGCTAATGAATCCTCTATAGAAATAAATGGGGCTCCCACTGTAACATCACGTAACTTGTTCAGCTGCATTTACTGATCATACTCAGAATGAACACACTGCTGTCAAATTAATTAATTCTTATTGCAGGAATAACGTGGATGTGGCTGAGCACGTAAAAGAAAAGTGATTTGATAAGGAAATGGTTTATTTCTTTAGGCAAGGAGTATAATCAGACTAGCCATTCATTCTGAACATCTGTCCAGATTATGAAGTCTAAGGGCCAAATTTCTCCACTAGCCATCACAAAAGTACTTTTACATGATTACTTGCTTTTCTCTGGCCCTGTTTCAGCTGCACATGCACGTAAATCAAAATTTGTTGAGCCCTGTTAAGAAGGCAGCAAAGGACATGTCCACTCCAGTTATGTCTTTAGGTCCCCTCTCCCTGGAGAGCAATCAATGGTCATCTCTGGTTCTACAGACCTTGAAATGCTGAGAACCTCACTATGGTGGCTCTTGGGGGAAGGAAAGTCCCATCAGTGGAATCCCAGACCGCCCAGGCAATTGGCAAGGCTTCAAATACAAAGATGGGTTTGGCTCCAGTTTCAGATACATCCCAGCTGAGCCAGCAATAAACTCACCTGGCTGCCAGCATGAGAGTGGGACAGGCCAAGGGCTGATTCTGAACTGGTGTGTTGGAAGTTCCCAGTTTAGGTGATGGGATGGGAAGGAAGAAGAAGAATTCAACACACACACACACACCCCCTCCCCAGGTATACATATCCCGCAAACAGCCCCTCCCTTGTCCTACCAATCTTCTCCAGAACTGACTTTTTTGCACCAGTTAAGACAAAATCAATCCTGGGATTGGAGGGAACTTGGTGCTTCAAACAGTTGGGAACCCACGTGTAGGGTGTCTAGGGCATGGCTTAGAAGTACTTCAAAGGTCCGTGATGGCAATAGTTCTCCCCAGTAGACTGGAGGACCCGTGGCATGGGATTCATTGGCCCCAGTCCACCCATTGAAAATCCCCCTCTTTGTCTGCCTGAGAAGACCTGATTGCTCCCCTTTGGAACCCGTGGTGGTGAGAATGAGAAAAACAGAAGAGACTTTGGCTTTGGCCAATCAGGTCGAATGGCCTCCATTCTGGCTGGGTGTGGAAGCAGTAGATAATCCACCGCTTCCTTTAAACTCTGATTGAACTTAAACCTGAAACACTCAGTGATTTTGCAGGTGAAGTACTCATTTCTGGGGAAACCATAAAACCCCACCCCACTTCATGACTTTGGTGTCACTCTGCTTCACGTACTTCTCTTTCCACAACACACTAATTTGCCTCCCCTCGCTCCCGATGGATGCAGATTAGCAAGTTGTGCTATATCACGGTTTGTTTTAACATTGTTGAATTACACATTTTCAGCTACCAAAAAGCACTAATCAGAGAAATTCCTGATGATTCATCCCGCTTTATGACTAGGAGTGAGTAAAGCTACCATTTTCTTTATTCCCTACTGCTTTTTGTTTTCACATTTTTCATGACCCTAATACTTTTGTAGTTGTTTATTTTTGCTGAACGAGAGTTTCACTTTAGTTGAGCTAATCTTTCCATTTTGCCATGAACATAAACCAGCCCTCGCTTCACATTTCTTCCTCCTTCCTCTGCTCTCCTGCTGCCCAATCCAGTCTCCTCAAGGCTTCAGGCTAGAAAGAGCATTGTGCCATGTTTTGCTTTTCCTTCAACCTTGCCCTGTTGCCAAATGCTTTTGGAAGCTTGCCCTGGGGGTGGGGGGTGGGGGGTGGGCCGCGTTTGCTTCCTGCAGTGCGAGGGAACGGCCCAGAAGACATGGCATTAGTCAGTGATCTCAAATGCGGCCTTCAGAATTCAAAACTCGCCCAGAAGTCCTACTGCCCACCTTCTTCAGGCTCTCTGAGCAGAAAGATACATAGATGCGACATCATGTTCTGCCTCCACGTATGGGGTTTTACATGATTTCTGTCCCCCATCCCCTGGAGGAGAGGGACTTCTCTATCTTTTACACACTGTATATCCTGGGTAAAGTCAAGCTAAATCCCATCACTGGGAGGGGAAAATGGCTGATCTGGGGACAAATGGAAGCAAATTATTGACATCTCTACCACAAACAATGATTAGCCGTCACAGACTCCACATACTGATGGGCCAGTGTTTCCTGTCAATAGGGACAATAAACAACCAAAGTGATTTTGGTCACGTACGTTTCGTATGATCAACCTATAAAACCCTAGGTCATTGAATGGGACTTTGGGGCTCACCAGGCATCTACCTGGAGTTGCTTTGGCCTAGGAGCAGCCCCACTGCCAAGGGACTTGGGTCCCCCTCGCGTTGATGAGAATAAGCTTCCTTTCCTCCTCCTCGAGATGGCTCTAGTCTTGGAATTCTTCCAAATTGGGGGTGGGCAGCACAGAGCAGTGTCCGCTCTCTTCTCTCTGCCAAGCACTAGGCAATTAACGCCTTGGGCCCACCGAGGGCTATGCTTTCGAGAGGCTTCCTTTCCCTCGGGTAGTACCTAGTGACCAAATGCAGTCTGTGGTTGTTTCAATGGGTCAGAGATGTGTATCAGTTTCCAAAGATGCATGCACAGCACATGTAAAACAAATAAAAAAAAACCTGGCAGAGATTAAATCGTGCCATCATGGCCTCCATCTTGATGTTTTGGGCCATACACCTGATGGCTTATAATTCCCTAAGCTCTGAAAATCTTGCTAAATCAGTCCTGGGTTCCAAAAGATTTCCTCTGACCCTTTTTAAAAAACACAAAACATAGACTTAAAAACGCGCACTGCTCCTTTGCAGAGCGAAGGCCTGCCATTCAGTCATTTCTTCTGAATGCGGCGTCTGCCTCACGCGCCAGGGCTCCGCTGTGCCCGGGCATAACTCCGGTTAATCCTGTCAATATCTCACTGGGTGTCCTGCTGCCCAGGGAGGCAGCATTGCCGGAAGTAGTTACATCCTGGTGTGTGTATGTGTGTGCAGGTTGCCACGGTAACACCTTTGGCTCTGACATCCCAGTGAGCTTTTGTCCAAGAGTTCAGCAGGTACAGAGAGTATCCGAGGCACAAACCTGGTGCTGCTAAGGACTGTGCCTGTTTGTTGACTTCAGCACCCGCCAAGTCTGCCTGGAAGGATGGCTTTCCACAGAGCCCTGCTGAGCTGCTGAGCCGGGCGGGCAGAGGGGCACCGTGGTTGGACCTTCTCCCCTACGGGTGCTTCTGGTTCAGCCTTAACATGGGCACAGGGGCCTCCATTTCCATCTGTGTAAGTGGAAAGTAACTTCTTACATGGGCCTAGCTAAGGGACTGCAAAACCGGCTTCTGAGCAGTTAAGGGCAGAAGGCTACTGCAAATGACCCGCTTTACTTCAAGACTTACGGTTAGTTCCGTCAGTCCTGCTCCGTTGCTACCTGTTCTTCTCCCATTTTTTCCTTGTCAACTTTTTGTCTTTCATGCCTTGATTGTGGGAATGTTTACTTAGGAATATGACACTTATTTCAGTCTGATCTATTTCAAATAACTAGTAAAAGACAATGATTGATGTTTACTCTACCTTAGATAGTGCATTGTAACAATCTGTTCCCCCCTTTTTCATACTGCAGTGCTTAATATGGGATGTGAGAGTCAAGCTCATATTCATGATCAAAATGCTATCTTAAGTTAATAATGATGCGTTCATTTCACTTGCATTCCTTTTTTTAATATTTGAGAGAGGTTGCCTTACAATACAGTCTGTTCTACTTAAACTCCCTTAAAAATTCATGTGACAACTGTTAAGCTGTGGTTTGACCTTAAAACCTAGAACTGTGCCTTGAATGTGAAAACCAATTTTTATTTTGCTACCTCAGTCCTGAGGAGAGATTACACTGGGTTGGATCCAGCTGCTCTATTTCATGCAGGAAAGCAATTTCTGTTCAGAGAAGGATGTTTTCCAAGGCTGAAAAACAATTAAATGAATGGAATTAAATGTTTGAATTCACCTCAATGTAATCCCTCCCCACCTTGAAAATAGGCATATGGAATTTTATTTGTTTATTTATTTGTCACATTTATAGAGCCGCCCATCTCACAAAGTGACTCTGGGCGGCATACAACAATTAAAATAAAATAACAAGTGAGTTAAAACAGATATTATCTATATAAAAAGTTATTATTAGAATAAAAACATTATCACTAATGTTAAAAAAGATTTTAAAAAAGATTTAAAAGAATTAAAGTAATATTGACTCCAAGAAACAGAACCATGTCTTCAACATATATACTAACTTTCATTTCAATAACTCAGTGTTCAAGAAAGATATTACAGAGGCAGCATGGAGTAGTGGTTAAAGTGTTGGGGACACCAAGGTTCTAGTCCACCCTCAGCCATGGAAGCTCACCAGGTGACTCTGGACATGACACACTCTCAGCCCAACCTACATCACAGGTCTATTATCGAGGGTCCAAAATGAAGGAAGAGCCCCATAAAAATCATCTTATAAAAAGGCAGAAGGTTCTGAAGACACCCACTCAAAATGAAAGAAAGGAACCATAGACTGGCAGGTCAAGGAAGGTGGCTAAATGCCAGCAGGTAACAATGAAGAGTGCTTGGATCAGGGTCCCCACAAGAAGATCTGTATCTCCCAAGGCAGCTATGAAGAGCAGAATGGAGGGGAAGAGTAAAGCCCGGGACAGACCAAAGCATGGTCAGGACAAGCTCTTTTCTCCGAATGAGTGTAAATCTTCCGGAGCAGCTGAGGGTTCCAAAGGCACCAGCTGATGGTCTGGACAAACCCTTAAAAAATCCTGGAGACCTGGTGAAATAACTGGCAACTGGAGGAAGGCCAATCCTGCCTTTGTCCTCAGAAAGGGGAGAAATGAGTTGTCAAGAAGCTGGGCAGCTTTAGAAATGCGGATGATGAGTAAGCGAACCAACAAGCAAACTACAGAACAATCAGTCTGGCGTCAGGAACAACGGCAGATCATAAAGAGATTGATGCAGACAATCTGGCATGTACCAAAAAGTGTCAAAATAATTCTTTCCAGAATAAGCTTATCTCTATTTTTTATTTGGGACCTTCCTTTAGTCAATTGTGGGGATCTTGTAGGTGTAATATATCTTGCTTTCAAGAAGCACTTGGGAGAGGCTGATTTAATCCCTTCCTAAATGTATGCTTGATTATGTATAGGGCTTTTTCTGTTATAATTAACGATGATCTTGCATGGGGATCACAGTCATAAACTGTGTGTGTACAAATCAAGCAAGAAAGCAAATCAATTTAATACAAGATATACAGGGGACAAGTTAATTATCTGCATTTTACAGCAAGGATGGGATGCAGGAATAAATGCTGAACAGTAAAACTACAGGTTCTTACAAACCTGGAACGTCTTAGGCAGTAATGTTATTTCATGCAAAATACCAACAGGCTAGGAGGAAGGCAGGTTGCAAGGCCCAATGAAATCTTTGCTCAAATAGTGGAACCAACAAATGTCCCCCCTTTAATTACTTTGCATTCATCTTGCATATGACATTGATCCATGCACATTTTTCGTGGCCTACAACTGAGTTCCATATTCCTGTTGTTATAACCTTGACATTTTAGAAATGTCATAAATTTATGAAGCAAGGGCAAGAGCACAACACTTTCTCTTTGCAGCAGTCACTGTCTTCTGTAGAAGTTAAGCACAGTGGAAATAAAGTTGGACCAGAACCTCAAAGAATCTTTGGTTCTCCCCTTGATGCAGCCACCCAAGATGCAACACACTGTTCTGTTCCTTTAGTTGTCCAACACACAGTGGAATACTTAGAAGAGTTTGGTAAGTTCATGATCTCACTTAGTTGTGTACAGGCAACCATTTTCTTCCTTTCAGATGGAAATCCTCAACTCAGCCAGGTGTGTGTGTGCACTGGGTCAGGAAACAGCATGCACTTTGGGGATTAATATGGTTGGTGATGACGTCCGCTCAATGTCACTGATGAAAGGTGGCCCTGGACAGATACCGCCTCTTCTTCTGCAGTGTCTATAGGCAGTTCTGAGTTCTCAGGTGAATCCCAACCCTGTCCAGATCCCAAATCAAACAGAATCAATTAATACCAGGACCTACTGTAATCATCCAAAGTGGATTATTATAATCTGGTACTTCTGCTTCCAGGGGCATTTTTCTGGATGGAAAACAAGCTGACGCCCTCCTATAAAACTTGGAGGCATCCTAAAACTTTAGAAGCACAGGGCCAGCTGCATAGTAGGAAGCTTTTTCCTCTAACAGTACAGACAGCCTTACTAGTTAGACAAAGTAAATTCAGGCTGCTTGGGGTTTTCCCATCTGTTCTGGAGATACAGGAAATTCCCCTTTGGATTATGCACTTGCAATACCTTCTGCTGAAGGTGCCACCCAACTCATCATGGCAAGGATAAGGCCTCCACCTCCACACTAATCCTCTGCATCACCTTGAGTCATGGCTTTTACATAACTGTGTAAAAAACCACCAGCTCAACAATAAGAGAGTGAAATATCAGCATCACCTGGAGAAAAAAAGTTGTGTGAGCTACAAGTAGATTATGTGCAAATCTACTAAGCATTATATTTTGAGTTGGGTGCACAGTTTTCAGTGAGTTTGCCAGTTTTATTAGCTGGTTTTTATAATGTGTAAATTACAGTGAAAAATGGGTAAATTAAAGTGAAAAAGGTCTACTTAGTTCATATATTTTTTTCTTTACATTTGCAACATGAAAGTTGAATAACATTATGTTCTCTGGGAGGTAATTTTTTTCTGTTGCATGATAATAGAAATAATGCCTATGGCCAATGGTAATCTTAAGTACATTCACTTAAAATGGGAACTGAATAAAATTTGGTGTGTGTGTGTGTGCGCGCGCACAATATGGTGTTTCCTCCTCCTCCTCCTCCTCCTCCTCCT